CAAAGAGGTTTTATGATGCACTGAAAGCTGTCTACGGACCACAGTCCAGTGGATCCTCTCCCCTACTTAGTGCAGAAGGCTCAACCCTGCTGACCGACAAGAAGCGGATCCTGGACAGATGGGTAGAGCACTTTAACAATGTGCTCAACCGCCTTGCAGCTATCAATGACCAAGCAATCACACGCCTCCCTCAACTGCCAATTAACACAGAGATCGACACCCCACCTACATATGAAGAGGTCAACAAAGCCATCAAGCAGATGACCACAGGGAAAGCTCTAGGTCCCGACGCCATTCCTGCTGAGGTATACAAGACAGGTGGCAAAACCATTCATAGTCAGCTGACAAGCCTGTTCCAGTCTATGTGGTACCAAAAGCACCTGCCACAAGAATTCAGGGATGCCACAGTTGTGCACATCTATAAGCGGAAGGGCAATCGTCAGGCATGCGATAACCACAGAGGAATATCCCTCTTGTCTATAGCAGGCAAGATCTTGGCCCGTGTCCTGCTCAACCGCTTGCTGGAGCACCTGGAGCAAGGCCTAGGGACTAGTGACATGATCTTCGCTGCTCGTGAGCTCCAGGAGAAGTGCATGGAACAGGATTGCAACCTCTACATGACCTTCGTTGACCTGACCAAGGCCTTCGATACAGTCAGCCAGGAAGGCCTCTGGAAGATCATGGAGAAATTTGCCTGCCTGAGCACTTTCATCACAATCGTCCGCCAATTCCATGACGGCATGATGGCGAGAGTCCTCGATGACGGTGAACCATCCGAAGCCTTCCCAGTGACCAATGGAGTCAAACGGGGTTGTGTCCTGGCCCTGATGCTGTTCAGCTTGATGTTCTCAGCAATGCTGTCTGAGGCCTTCAGGGAATGTGATCCTGGCATCAACATCCGGTACTGGTCCGATGGGAAACTGTTCAACCCCAGGAGGCTGCAGGCCGTTACTAAGGTAAAGGAAACTATTCTTAGAGACTTTGTCTTTGCTGACGACTGTGCCCTCAACGCCAGCAATGAGCAAGAAATGCAAGCGGAGATGGACAGTTTTTCCACAGCCTGCAACAACTTCGGCCTCACCATCAGCACCAAGAAGACACAAGTAATGTACCAGCCAGCCCCGAACAAGCAGTACCACGAGCTGCAGATAACGGTGAATGGTCAGATACTACAGGCAGTAGAGACTTTCACATACCTGGGCAGCACACTCTCTCGCAATGCAAACATTGACGCTGAGATCAACAACAGAATCTCCAAGGCAAGCAGCGCGTTTGGGAGACTGCGGGAGAAAGTCTGGGAGAGAAGAGGAATCAGCCTCAATACCAAGCTCAAAGTCTACCATGCTGTGGTCCTCACCTCTTTACTCTATGGCTGCAAAACCTGGACTGCGTGCAGACGGCATGAGAAGCTGATCAACCATTTTCATCTGCGGTGCCTCCGAAACATTCTCCACATTCGCTGGCAGGACAAAGTCTCGGACACAGAAGTCCTGAAGCAGGCAGACCTTCCCAGTGCCATTAAGAACTTGTTCCACCTCCAGTTATTTTAACTTTGACAGCTCCTACACTAGCATGTTTTCCTCTCTTGGGATTCTTGATAGATACATCACAATATCTATCTGTAACAAAATCAACACGTCTCGCTAAGGTTGTCTGGGGAACAACTAAATGAAAAACAGAAGTCGCCAACTCTTCAAATGTCCTGGAATTTCTTTCATTGCTTGAAGTACAACCATGCCATCAACAATCAATGCTGCAGTGGGTGGATCAGTTGGTTTGACTCCTTCAATCAGCGTTTCCAGTAACTTAGACTTGACAGTCTTGCAGAGGGACCCATCCACTGAAGCCAGAGACCACGGAAAAGGACCTAGGGAATACTGGAAGACTTCTTGTAGATCCCTATCTCTTGTCTGAGCGACAATGAGAAGACGAGCAAAGAGCATCACTTCTTTTCCACCTATCTTAACAGGTGAAAAGGCCAGCTTTAGTTTCGGTATTGGATCATGGAAGGAAATTTCATTAGTCGTCAACCTCCTCCTGATAAAAGCTGTCACTGCTTCTTTACCCTTATCGTAGGCCGTACAGGTCTTCTTCCACCATCTTTGAGGCCATCATTCCTGATGCAATGTGGCAAAGTTCATCAGGGTCAGATTGTAGAAACAGATTGACCCAGTCGCTCAGAGTGGACAGTACCTTCCTCACATCAACATTGATGTGACATTTCGTGAACTGACATCCCCCCTTTTCCTTTCTCCTTAATTACACCTTCACCATTTGGCGTGGATATTCCAGCAATCTCACAGCAAGCTTGGGTGATTGCTGCCTGCTCATGTGAGGTTAGTAGCCATCGCTGCTCAGTTCCCTTATTCAGGCTAAACGTTACAATTGCACCTTTCGATTTTGTCTCTATTAATAGTCTGCTCGATCATCTGATCAACAGCTAATTGACTGAATGCACTGCTTGAGTGTTGAACCACAAAGTTGCCAGTTTTGAATACTTCATGGGCAGAAGGGTGTACATCTTTGTGTGACATCATGTCACACCAGTGGACTGATAGGTATCTGGAGAAGTTGGTTCAATCATAGGCGAACATCCAAGGAAGCATGTCAAGAATACAGGCGGGATGTAAGTTCCAATCACCCTCTCTGATTGACTGTATGAAACACAGAAGCAGACAAGCCATTTCGATGTACGATCGCCAATAGGAACTCATCTTCCTGCTTGACCGTTTGCCGAATTCTTCATACTTCATACTTCAGGCAACATGTTTGGGCCTTTTCATCCTTCCCTTTGAGACATTGTATAAGAGGTCTTGGGCAAGGGACAGAATAAGACGCTGGCAACTTTCGTCTAAATTCACCTTCTCCTCCTCTCCTTCACCATCCTCACAAATGATCAAAGCAAGTAAGTTGTAAACAACAGTTGGAACATGATGTTCCCTTTGTTAATTGTATTAGACTATGGTGGCCATGGTATGTTCAGCTCCGGACTTAAAAGGGTGGCACGCACGGTCTTGGGGAATGATACACGTGGTTCTTGAGAGATACATCCTTTGGCTCTGTAATAAACGTATCATTTTCAACACTATGGTTAAGACCACACTCAACGATCTGACCCTTAGACACCTCATCGCACTAGACAATTTAAGCCTCAGATCGATATGTCAGGTGCCAGAAGCTTATTCTGCCATGATAAGCCTTTTGCATTCTGACCTTTAGCTTTCAGATCGATATAAGGGGTTTTGTGTACCCTGAAAGGAGAGAAGTTCCACGTGTCAGGCAGGCATCGGCCTGGAGCTCAATAGCTGAAGTGTCCTTATCTCCAGATGAAATTTCCTCTACTTTTCTCTTTTTAGCAACACGATCGAGAACATTCTTGGCTGTGAAATTTTGGTAACAGTTTCCGTGGTACATGCCAAATGTGCAGTTTTCCAGTTTCCCTTTCATACTTTCCAATATGTCATCCTTTCCCAGATCTGAGGCTTCCTTAAACGTCCTAGTTACGTATATGACGACTTTTTTGCATGATGTCACAATTCACGCCATTTTCATCAAATGTACCACTTTAAGAGTCGTTCTTAAGGCCAATGAGCCATATCCGTTATTTCATGGGCTAAAGGCATTGCCCTTATGAGAGATTATCCCATAGCGTGCACAATTGTTGTGGAATAATGAAACCAGAAGTGAATTTCATTCCACTTCCGGCTTGATGCAGTTGCCTTATAAAGGTTTTTCTTTCTATTTCAATGCATAATTTGAATATTTCTGTGCAAATAATGATTTCAAAATATGAAAAGGATGTATCTGAGTGAATATATGGTCTTTAGGGGGATTAAAGAGTGGAAATATAAAATTTCCTTTGCAGTTTGGCTCTCTTCGCTCTAATTACCATAACACTTCCTGAAATTTGCAAAATAGAGCAATTTTAGTGCTTTTTAAAGTTAAAATGCTTGTAAGTGGCAGAGATGCAGAAATAATCAGTTTCCAAAGAAGTATGACCCTAAAAACAGATTAAAAATAGCATAAATTCATTGTAATGAGATTTTAACGCAAAGGAGTATGGGTTGTTTAGGCCAGGTTACCAAGTTCTTTGGACACTTTTCTGTGTGTTAACAAGCAGATTCTTAATCAGCAGGCTCTAAGTTTTAAAATGAACAGCTTGCCATCCATGGGATGTAGCCAACTTAAAAAATTGAGCCTTTTTCGCATCTGGCCACTAGACTAAATAGCTGTACTACACTTGTATCATTTTGACCATAATTTTCACCACACAATGAATATTAAGGAACTTGAAATCACTTGGCAGTATCCAACTTTATTTAAACTTTCTTCTGTCACATGTAAATGTACATGTAGGACAATATGAAAATAATTATTGTGACGAAAATGCCTTATAAAATTAATGAACAGGAAAAAAGACAACCTACAATGAGCAGTACTGTAATATGTAATTAAAATTAATATGGTGCATCTAGGACTGATAATGATGACAATACATGCTACTGAAAATTAAGATGAAACCAGGGTTTTCTCGGGCAGACTGCATACTGTATCAGTCAAAAAGGGAAAGACAGAAAATAAATCAATCTTTCTGAGTTGCACTGTTTCAAATGGTCTCTAAACTGGAAACAAATTGGATTCTATATACGTCACCTGCAATGCAGTGTTGCTCTGAAATGCAGTGAAGAATGTGTCATCAGGCAAATGATTCTGAGTAGGACTTCCAGTCCTGAAGGCTGCAAAGTCTCCAAAGTCATCATTTTCTACTGCTGATCCTGCTGGATAAAAGCAATTCATTTGAATAGAAATTAAGATGATAAAGATAAGATAATTAAGATAATACATACATTTATTATATGGCTCTGTCTCATAAGGACTGGGAACTACCAAATTCACGAATTTGATTGGCTGAAATCGATATTGAAAGCAGTCTAGATTTTCCCATGTAGATCGACATCTAGACCGGTAATGTTTTGTAGTGAAAAAGTTGCAAATTAACATGTAAAATCGATAACTATTTTCATCTAACAATATTTATTTATGGAAGTGCCAAAAAGCCTAGTGAGAAACTAGTGAGACAATTTCAGACAGTGCAGAGCGCAATTGATAGCTCTGGTACAGTAGTCCCATAAGCACTCACCCCTGCTCGGTTCACTTCCACTTTGTGTCTACCTTGGTAGTCTGCTACGGCTTTTCCCCTTTGCAGTGTATAAGGTTAAAGGTTGTATTTTCATTCAAGGTCTACTGATGTTTTACGTTGATTTTTGTTCATTTTAAATTCAATAATACGCTGAAGCAGCAAATGTGACAATTTAGCTCTTCATGCCAACTTTGTAACTTGATACTTTTGTTTTNGGTTAATAAGAGCCAAGTATTAAGATAATAAAGATTTAAAAATTCTTACTGTATTCTCAAAGAATTTGATCTCAACGACATGTACATCAGGAGCTGATCACATTATGGGTTCGTAATATACATCTACCTGTAGATGGCTCAGTTGGTAGAGCACTGCACTGGTGTCGCAAAGGCCATGGTTCGAATCCCATTGAAGCCTGAATTTTTTTCAGGCTTTAATTTCACAACTGCTTAAGTTGTGTGTATAACTGCGATGATCAATCACGTCTTCATATCTTATCCACAGTTGTATTCTTTGCCATCTAAGTGTATATTACAAACTCACATGACCAGCTCCAAGTTGGCTTGATAACTCAATTGGTAGAGCACTGCACCAGTATAGCAAAGGTCATGTGTTCGAATCTTGTTCAAGCCCAAATTTTTTTCAGGCTTTAATTTCACAACTGCTTAAGCAGTCCAGAATATCCCAATATATTACGACATCTGTGATGTCACGAAACTCCCCCTTCCACCAATGAGAATGCGTGTTTTAGTTAGAGTGTTGTGTTTCACAACAAACCAAGAAATTCAAGATGGCGGACAAAGAGAGTCGTGAATTCCTACCGATGCCATGAATGCAGGTCTTCAGGAGGTATATATTTGTCCCAAATTGAGTTCAATACTGTCGAAATTATGAAATAAAAGGAAAGTTTGTGTTCGCATTCTCTGTCACAGACAGTTCTGCCCAGATAACAATTATCTTTGAACCAAAGGAAGCACTACGGAAAGAAATTTGAATTGAGAACTGCGGGCCGAGTTTGACGAGCTGCTGTTATCATTCTTTGGAAAGAGACCATAGAATCGGTAAGCATCTTCACTCTGCATTTTTTTAAGCACAGAAACAATTGATATGTGAATTCAGACTTTCCTCTTATCTAGGATTATCTTTCCGAAATCGACAGAACGTTCTTTGCCAGCATTATATAGTTATCAAGATAAATTTTAAATCTCTAAAATGTTATACGTTTTGGCCAAATCAAGAAGTCATTAAACAGAATTTTCAATAAAGCATACGAGTGAGAAATTCTTGTTCTGTCATACAAAATACATGTATACTAAGCTAGAAAAATGTGTTGTCAGATGCATGGAAGGTCAAGAATCTGTTAATATATTCTTTGTAAATCTGAAATTTCTCCATTTTGGTATTTATTTTAAATATTTCTTGTGTCTATTTGTCGCTGTGCTAAAATATGTCATATCAGATTTCCACATTTAAATTATGAAAGCTTACATATAATTGCTGACTAAGCAAGTTATTTACCCAAAAATATCAAAATATAATTTCTGGACAAGTTGACAAGGAAACATTCACAATCCATCCACATATCCCAAGGTATTATTATTTATCATAAGAATTGTACGGCCCCTCATGCAATTTCCTTGGAAAACCATAAGAAAAAAGTCCCGTATGAGGGCCATACGCATCCAAGTGATAGGGCCGGAAAAACCCGTACGGCCCTACTAGAAACGTGAATGGCAAAATCAATGCGAGTTAATGACAAATACAATTTTGTTGCTGCAAAATTTTGTTCTCTTCAAAACAAGTGATGAATGTGAACATTCTGAGAAGGAATTTTACTATCCAGACAAACTGTCTGATACAGAACTACTTCAGTAGCCAACTCACTCCGAAAGCAAAGAAAGAAAGTCAACATTCCTCACAAATAAAGTTCACAACTTTCTCAGAAGCCACCAACAAGCAAACAGGAGGTCAAGAAAATAACTTTTCCTGATGAACTGTCTGATAATAAGCCAACCTTTGGAATAAGCCAACAGTCTTGAGGCGAAACTTCTTTCAGTGGAAAGCATCAAAGAATTCACCGTGGGTCAAAAGCAAGAAAACAACGTGAAGAAAACAAAGTACGATATAAATGTTTTCTTCGAGTTTCCAGAGCTTCTGGGAGAAGTTAATTGAACATACCTTGGTTACAGTAGGATATATTGCTCGGCAGTTTCTACATCGGTGTTGTTTGTAGAGGCAAAACTGAGTACGAATACAAGTTCATTACCGTACAGTTTATTCAGATAACAAAACTCTCTTGCTCCTGTTTAATAGTGTAATTTCCACTACACAGCAAAGCCAGCAAAGCCAGTAAACCCAGGCACTGACTGCAGGAGCTAACATCGGTGTCATTAATATTCAGTTGCTGGTTCTCCCTTCTTCAAGAGAATCCAAGAGGTTGATAGATAGCTTGAAACGATGCCGACATTTAACTGAGTCTTGTATTTCAGACAAAGAAGATTTGTGAACAATTTCAGTGAAGCGTGAAGCAAAGCGGTTTTGACATATTTTTGACAGCTTTATGTCAACTTTCCGTTGGCTTTTAAGACAGGTTGGCCAATCCCATTAGCATGAATTGCAATTGTGGACTTGCATTGAAAACCAAAAATGAGAAAATGAGTCGTGTTTTTCGATAAATTGTGAGTTTCTTGTTCACCGCGAAGAAATAACTGACAAGCTTTTATTTTAGAATCTTTTTTGTAGTTGTTCCACGCGCAGCCGTCTGATGTTATGTAATCACATCCTATTTAGGTTCAAACAGAATTTTCAAAATTCTCAACACTAAGTAGTCATATGATAAAATGCTTATTGACTGAGTAAGGTCAGGCCGGATGGGAAAATATTTGGCTCTCGGGCAGGATGTGCGGACCAAGTGCAGCAAGGTCCGTACGTCCTGACCTTGAGCCAAATATTTTCCCATCCAGCCCTCCCACTCGGTCAATAAGTACATAATATTTACTTTAAGTAATATACAAAACAAAATCAGTCTTGAAAGTGAAATCCATTTTATTTCATTCACTCTCTAGGTACTCTCAACCTTGAATTAATGCAGGATTAATCTTCGACTTTTACCTAAATTGAAAGAGAAATAAGTGTTGGTTCACGGTGTACAGTTGCGACCTACATTTACATATCAGTACATCGGTCGTAACGCTTCTTCATTGATCAAACAACTTTGCTGGCTATATTATAAATACTGTGGGACTGGAAGATATAGGTTGTCAGTAGTACTTCTATGAATTGCTGGTTGGCTTTAAGCAGAAAATTTTGAAAATAGCACTTGAAAATCTGCGGAACAAATTCCACTGAGAGTTCTTCAATGGTTCTCACGGACTCAGTTCGCTTGTTTCAGTTCGACAAAATCAACCATCATTTACATCTTTATTAAATCCATTTTTAAATCACTGGTTATCCTTGCAATCTGATTGCCTTTCAGGAGTGCGATTTATTCACGAATCACACTATTTTTTGCTCTAAATCGCATCTTTTTCTCAGCCAATGAGAATAGGATAGTAAAACAAAACAACCAATCAGATTTCAAGGTTAGTTAAAGCAATAAAATTTCAGGAAATGAAAGACAAAAAGCCATTGTGTGGCGAATTTTGCAACTATTATCGCTAAAACTTTGTTGTTGTTGTTGTTGTTTTTCAAAACATTTGACGAATTTAATTAATTACAGTTTCTGAATGACGATTATGAGCTCCTTCAGGTTGAAGACCTACTTTACAGGAAGTTTCCAACATTCAGTGTCCATTTTGACGAATATTCTGGCGATTTTTCTTCAGCATCTGCTCAAGATCCGTCCAACAAAACACAAACAAACGAGAACCACACAACAAATTCAGGGCCATCTCAAGAAGGTAGATGTTTCCAGGTTTCTAGTAGTTTCAAACGAAGCAATACAAGAGTTAACTCTTTTGCTGTGAATAAACATACGTAATCAAAATACGCCCCGCTCCACAAAACAGTGAATGACCGCATGTCTTCCGAAGCTGGTGCCCCGCCATCTTAAAAATATCTTGAAACAAATGACATCGCAAGAACTTGACAAGGTCTTGAGTATTAAGTTCTACGCTGAGGTCACAAAAAGAAACGGAGATACTTACGAGCTGGAATCCCTTAAAATCATGCAGAGTGCCACTGAACGGTATTTAACAGAGAAAAACTATCCACTGGGCATTGTGCACTCGAGCAGAGGGAGTTTCACAACTCAAAAGTAATCCATCGCAGAATTACACTAGCTGCACCTTTAAATTCCTTCTCCAAAGACAACTACAAGTCTCAGCCTCATTCACAGAAGAAAAGGAAGGTCTTCCATCATTGATTCAGGGGACGATAATTTAACTTTGATGCATGAAGTAGACTGTTTTCATTCTGGCTTCAGAACTGCTTGTTTCTTTGTTATGCTCAAGTGAGTTTTTGTCACATGACATCGTTTTGCATACTAAATGAGATGTCAAGCTGTTTCCTGTTCCGCTATTTTAATGCCGGCTACTGAATCTAACATTTAAGGCGATAAAATTGTGCGATTTCAAAATGGAATTAATAAAGTGGCAATTGAACTTCGGGTCATGCATTTTTGGTCTGAAATCATACTTGTGATATCAAATCGAACTCGTGCTGTGCGCTTGTTCCATTTTGAAATCACGCATATGATTTCAGACCAAATTGCACTCCACTCAGTTCAATTACCATTATTTATTGTAGCATTGACCGTTCATTGCCAGTAAATTGTACACTATATCTTTCTTTATATCTGGGATATTGCTGCAACAGCCGATAGCACTTCTGGAAGGCGTTTCTGAGCACTTTTCGAATGTGTACTGCACCATCCTGAAGGAAATGAGAGGATGCGAGACATTCAACCTTCCTGGGTAGATGTCACAACAGCCACTGGATTCATTCTCCTCAAYCTCGGTCATGAAACAAAATGGCGGTGTTTTAGAGCTATTTTCGAGATTTCGTCGGCGCACAGAAAATCGAGGATTTAACCGAATCCAAAAATTTTTTCGCAGAAGTATTTCAAATAACAAGTAGATTTGTTTTAGTGAAAAAAAAAATTTGGGGGTTAGGTGCACTTTAAGTTAACTGCAATGATCAATCATGTCTTCATATCTTTCTCAGCAGTTCAAATATTATATGATCTTTCATATTCACTTGTAAAAGACCGACCTATTATTCAGGTTTTTGTCAGATGCATATGAAGCACATATTTAATGTCAGAATCATCTAATCTTTAGAAGATAATGACTGCACTTAAATGGAACACTATAACTAGAAGCATATGATGAAATTTGGGTTGCCACAATGAGAAGTGCAGTTTAAAGCAATAGACATATCATGTATTTCTTAACCGAGGTACAAAATGGTGTCAAAGAGTCAAGAGTAGTTGCTCTTTCATGAGTTTTGCTTTGTTTCTAGGTTTTTAAATAAATTTACATTGCATGGTAATTGGAAGATATAGAAACTTAATTTACAAAAGATTGTTTTGCATTAAAAAATGTATTTACTTTTAAGAGTAGCCAGCATGCTCAGGACTAATACATGTAGACGGTGATTTTTGCTGCTCTTCGGTGCTTACAGAGAACACTGAAGCTTTATACATTAGTCAGCAGATTCTCAAAAACATTTTACTGGAAGCAAAGGAAGAAGCAAAGTAAAATCCTTCATAAAGCCAGTAACTCAAAAAATTGTAAATATTTGTACTTCAAAAGACTAACGTAAAAATAATAAATAAACAAGAAGATCTTTTAGATCTTACAACCGCACTTTTAAAATTTAACTGTTTTCTCAGCACTACAGTCGCATTGTAGAGCATATTCCAAAGCAGTCCTTGATGATTCATTGATTACTGTAGACACATCACTTGATCAAAACAAACTGTATTATTGCACCATCAGTCGTAGCCGTTGCGAAATCTCTGACGACGTAATGGTCTTAATCTGGAACTTTCTTCAGGATAATTATGCGCATGAACGATACAATAATAACACTATTAACAGCTGCTTGCTTTCTTGAAAGTAATGATTAAATTTAATTTTTTTTTTCATGAGTAAAGGAGTAAAGGGCTAGCAAAGTAGTCACATGAGTCACATAATTCAAGAATTATGTTACACATGGCTATCTTTAGTACGGTGGTTATTTCCCTACCAATGACGTAATCCTTGCATTTTCTGACACGTTCTTTGCTTGCCTTGCAAACATTTAATTTTCCTTTCGATCTCTGAACTCGTTTCAATAAAACTGCATGACAATTCACTTCTCTTGCCTAAAAATACAAAAAATACTCGGAAAACTAAAGACTGTCACTCCTGGCGAAATAACCTTGCAAAGTAAACACGATCTTATTTGTCAAGTAGCGAAAGTGAAAGATGCAACGTTAGCGCATTCCACGGCTGACTTTTTTTTGCGTATTTATTATTCCCTTTGAATCCAACATTTTGATAAAATTAAAAGTAAATGTGCCATAACATTGTCCGTGTATTAATGTTTCAACAGCTTTTGGCGAATAAACATCACAGGTTGTGTGATTCAAAATTTGGCTGAGAGGAAGTTTGGGTCTGGTCACCGACAAAACACACAAAAAACATAAACCCTGTGCAAACCTAGAACCACACTCGGCCCATGGCCACGCGGTTAATTACCTTGCATAGAAAGGAAGCCACATCAGCCCTAACTGGTTTTCATGCTGGTCTTTAGAAGTGTTGGTTTTTCAGGTGGTTGGAAAACCAGAGAACCAAGACATTTAACTCTTGGAGTGAGAATTAACGACAAACTCACAATCGAACCTGGGCCACAATGGGGGGGAAGTGAGTGCTCTCACCACTTCACCATACCTGCTCCCTAAGTGTCAATTTTGTCCTTTTTTAAAAAAAAACTAATAAAGTCAATCAGCCAGTCTATATCTATCCATATCTTTTTAAATATGCCATGAAATCTAATGATTGCTAACTCCTTACCATGGTTGAAATTATTCTCTGATCCACTGATGCTTCCTCCCCCTGTAGGTGCAGAAGCAAAATCTGCAAAGAAACTATCATTTTCTGTTGGGACAACTGGAACAGTAGAAGTCTGAAAGGGCTGTGAAGTAAGGGAGGTGTCAGGCTGCCCTGTAAGCAAGTCCACCAAATCTGAATTGCTTGTGTGTGACATAGATGGTACTACACTCGATGCTGGTGTTGTAGAAGAATTGATTACTTCTGATTTTCCATAATTTGCTGCAGCTCCAAGATCAACAGTCCTTGAAGGATTAGATGATACTTTAGGAGTTGCATTTCTGGATGAATCGGTATTGCTCAGGCTATCTTTATCTTTGTCTTCCTCTGCTTCTTCTGCTTCTTCTTCTTCACTATGGAAATAGAATGTAACTAGGTCAAATATGCCATGACCTGTAGCATATTAGTCAATAAGCATGTTATCAATTTTGATATTTAAAATGAATGTACATGTATAGCTCCAGAGTAATTGAAGTGATAAGAATTAAGCAAATAAGTCAGGTCTGTCATTTAGAGCCGTAACCTCTGTAACACCTGTTATGGCCATGTTAAATGTTACAAAAAAAAACTGTTATTGCTGAGTATGTCTGATTGGCCCTTGATGTTATGGGTGAATTTGCCAGGGCTGGAAAAAACCCAGGTCTGATTGCCCAGGGCAAGTACATTTTGCTCTTGGGCAAGTGAAAATGGAAGTTTGGTGGTCTGGTGGGCAAGTGAAATTTGCCTCCGTAGTCTGGTTAGAGATAATTTCCATTAAAAAAAACAATTTCAAAACTGAAGAATGCAAGATGAGAATGAATAGTATTTCACGAGAAACCATGTGTCAAAACCACAAAGAAAAATCAGTAACCTATTGGGCAAGTAACAGTTTAGTGGGGGCAACTGAAAACTGAAATGTACTATCCCACTGGGCAACTGGATTTCAATTTTTTTTCCAGCCCTGTTGCCTGTTGTTGTTACAATTCACCCATAAAGTAATAAGTTTGTTACCAATGTGAAGATTGAGGCTACAGGTGAATCAAAACTTAGTGGCAGCCCTAGATAAGGGGTCAGTTGATCAATCATCCATAAACTTTTATGTGTTATTCATGAATAAAATTGCAACATTGATCTTTTTTGGAGTCCAACAATTGCTCCCAAATTAAAGAATATTGTGTCTGTTTCATGTCTGTATTTCCATTTGATGTTCAACCATAACTTACAATTACTGTTTGTCAAGACAGCTTTCAAATTTTACTCTGGTGTTTTACATTGATTTTCGTTCATTTCAAATTCAATAATAAGTTGAAGTAGCAGACATGACAATTTTACTTTTCACGCCAATGTTTGCAACTTGATACTTTTGTTTTCCTCACAAAGGTATGTAACATTAAACCCCTGTTTTCTTGAAAACTTTAGAGATCAATGGAAGAAAGTAAATATCTTATGAGGAAATGGAAGAAGAACGATTTTGTTTCATTCAAAAATGAAAACTTTTGTTTTCACTGATAAACAAGAAATAGTCATGGGATACCATGTTCTTGTTCAGTTGCCACCTCAGTGATATCGATTAATACAACCGGGAAGCGTTGCCGTTTCAGTGAGAAGTATCGAAGGCCACTGCTACTCAGTTGACCAAGATTATATATCTTACATCAGTGAACGATTCCCCTCAAAGACTGATTAAATTAATTCACGCTTTTATTACGTGCCACAGCATCTACAGCAGCATTTGAACCCTTTCCTGGTTTCTTTTGTCACAGATTTACAATTTAACAAGTTTTAGTGCCACTAAATCAGGAAAGTTTGGCTAGATATGAACTCTTTGGTCTCTTTCATAGAGACAATTGAAAGAGAAATAAATAAGCTGCTAAGGAGAAGGAAAAGGTTTCCATTCTTACTTTTAACCCTGACAAACACAATAGTGTAGTTTAATAATAGCAGATGATATCTGTTGAACCGAGCTAGGGGCAATTGTAAAAGATATGCAGTCATAGTAGTATTTTGAGCATTAAAACAGGAGAAGTGACATTACCCGAGAAATAACTGCTGTCCTTGGTTATATCACACGACATTTAAAAAACTCACGGGGCTCTGGGGATGAAAACGGAGTATATCATGCTAACAATGCTAGGATGCATGCATCTTACATGTTGGGTTCTACCACAAGGAAAAGCATTCAACGTTTTTGTGTTGTGTGATCTCAAACGAGAGGCATCTTTCACGTAATATATAATTGGCACAAACGTTAACCAATCTGCGTATGAGTTTAGGGCAAATTGGTTTTGTTCTAAAGAGAGTAGTACCACAAGGAGAGCAAGAGGTATCATAAACCAAATATAGAGCTTTGTGGTACTATGAATGAAGTAAGGTAGGTGACAAGCGTTTTTATGTAGTGCACACAGGCACCTACCCCTTCCCAACCACTTCCTTGCCTCCAAACTAATTAATTAATTGATATTAATTATTTAAACCAACATTATTGCCTTAGCAGACATCAGCCCTCAAACCATCCCAATAGTACATTTGCATGATGACGTCATGTGCGCACTGCATTCTGGTAGTTGTAGTCAGTGAGAAACAAAATAGCATCTCATAGTGGAGGCAGGTTCACTTGCTGTGTTCCAGGGTGTTTTAGCATTAGTAAAGAGATGTGAATCTCTTGCTCTATGGTTTCCCAAAAGAAAAGAATTTGTGGAGTCGCCGGTTGCACAAAATATTGAAGAAAAATTTTTCTCTGAGCACTGGACACCAGGTACGTAGCTTGCATTTCAAAGGAGGCAAAAAAACCCTACATGAACAATGTTCCTTTTATTTTTCCTTAGGCAAAGTCCCATCCAAACGAAAAAA